TGATACAGTAACTTGTCCCTGGCCATTCTGTGGACAAAACACGCAAGGTTCTCCAAGCTTTCAAAATCTTTTTAAAAGACGTATTCATCTATACATCCATTTGTTTATGTGAAAGGTAGATTTAAAGAGAGAGCATCCTCCTGCTGCAATGGAGTATGAATCACTAAGTGGAAGCTCTCTGTCTCTGTTTCTCTCCCAAGTCTTCCTTCAGGTTCCCTATTTAAAATGTGAATTCACTTGATTGATTCAAGACTAAGTTAAGCATGATTGTTGCTCTGCTTTGGGTGACAGTTTGTGGGTCCTGCAGAGACTTGCGTATTTGGGGGCTTGGTCGCCAAAGTCTTTTGTTTGTGGCTAATGAGTTAATATTAGTGGATTAAGAATGGAAACTGGACTTCATCATGGCATCCAGGAAGTGGGCCGGGGGGAGCTGCTGGGTGAGCAGGGGAAGCCCTGGGAATGCAGTTGCGCGTATTATTGGCGATTGTTGAGTCTCAGAGCTGCCCTGCTTCCTGGCTGGCTGTGTGATGGTCCCTTTGGCCTTGTTCCACCATCCACTGCCCTCACTGCATGCCTGACCTGCGAACCCGTCTGATCTTTAGTTGTGAAGCTCCGAAAAAACAAGCTGCAATAAACTTTTTCCTTCCTCAGTAGCTCCTCTCAGGTATTCTCTTCGGTGATGAAAAACCTAGTAACACAATACTGCTTGGAAATTACCTAGTCCTTACTAACTCCTAGTACTTAATCCTAGCACTTAGCAAGTAACTGACACAGTACCTAGTACTTACTAAGTGCTCTGCAGGGCCCAGCACAGTAGCCTAATGGTTAAGGTCCTCACCTTGCATGCACCGGGATCCCATATGGATGCTGGTTTGTATCCCGGCGGCCCCACTTCCCATCCAGCTCCCTGCTTGTGGCCTGGGAATGCAGCTGAGGACGGCCCAAAGCCTTGGGACCTTGCACCTGTATGGGAGATCCAGAAGAGGCTCTTGGCTTTGGATCAGTGCAGCTCCAGTTTGTGGTGGTCGCTTGGAGGAGTAAATCAGCAGACAGAAGATTGTCCTCTGTCTCTCCTCCTCTCTGTAGATTTGACTCTCCAATAAACTAAGTAAATAAATCTTTTTTTAAAAAAGATTTATTTTATTATTTTTATTGGAAAGGCTGATATACAGAGAGGAGAGACAGAGAGGAAGATCTTCCGTCCGATGATTCACTCCCCAAGTGAGCGCAACAGCTGATGCTATGCCGATCCGAAGCCAGGAGCCTCTTCCGGGTCTCCCACGCGGGTGCAGGGTCCCAAGGCTTTGGGCCGTCCTCGACAGCTTTCCCGGGCCACAAGCAGGGAGCTGGATGGGAAGCGGGGCTTCTGGGATTAGAACCGGCGCCCATATGGTTTCCCGGGCGTGCAAGGCGAGGACCTTAACCACTGCGCCACTGCGCCGGGCCCGTAAATAAATCTTTAAAAAGAATGCTCTATAATGGCATATAACAGCAGCAATAGTGAACACTCCTTTGCCCAGATCACGATCAACACAGCCCTACAGATCCTACCCTGCAGTGCCTTGGCTCACTGACCCCTGCCTGCTCCCTGGGGACACTGCTTCCCTGCGGCCCCTGACGGCAGGCTGCTGGCTTCATGCACTTGAAGGAAACAACGAAAAGAGCTTAGCGACAGAATACAGAAGCCAATGCTGTGGCTCCTGGACAAAGTTGGGTGCTCTGAGCACCCTCTCCTCCTGTGCTCCTAGATCCCAATTCTGCCTGCGATGGGCTGAACTCAGCCAGAGGGCAAGGAAGTCCACAAATGGGGCCCAGTAAAGTCAGTCAAGAGGGCTGGGGCAGCACAGGAGAGTGATCTGGGGTGGGGTGGGGAGCACGTCGGGTACGCAAGGAATAGCCAGCATCCCAGCTGCAGATGCCCAGGGTGCTGGAGCTGGATCCATCCTCCTCACACCCTGGAGATTCTCCCAGACCACTTGTCCACAGGTCACTGACCAGTGGGTTCTCCCCAGTGGACACACCTCCCTTTCTCTCCAGCACCTCTTCAGCTTGATGATCAGTAACCTGGCCACTGTCTCTCCTCTGACGTCTGAGGATTCCACGCCCAGCGCTCATGACCCCTAAGTTCTTACGGGCCACCCAGGACTCTCAGTTTTCAGGATTCCTATTCTTTAATGACTTAGAGTTTCGTTCCCTTTTCACCAGCAGCCTATATGACCACAACCTACGTTGTTATCAGAACCTAGAGAAGTGACCCCTTGGAAACATAAAGTGATCAACTCCTAGCAAGAACTGTAACGGATCTGCTGGTTGGAAAGCCAACAGGCTGTCCTGACACATTTTTATGGATGCTGGTAGAAAACTAAGACTGTTGGTGAAGAGATGATGCACCAATTCATTAGAGCAAGAGCATCTGCCAGACTTCTCATGCATACTGGCTGTCCGAGTCCCCGTTTCTGTGGATCTGTGTGAAGAAGCCAGACAACACCTGACAACTCATGGGGCTGCGCTGCAGGGGAGGAAAGTGGACTTTGGGAATCAGAGTCTTACAGTGGGCAGCTACATGTCTTGGCTCTCTATCTTTGTCTGACAAGGTTGTAAGGAAACCTCTCTCTAGAAGAAAATGCAAAGTCTACTGTCCAAGATGATGTATTTGTTTCCCATAAAAACCTACAAAATGACCAAAGGCCCTGGATCAGTGGTCTTTGGTTGTGTGTTCAGCACCCACCAGTGCTGGGGTCCGTGCAATAGGTGTAGATGGCATGAAGGTGTGAAGAGAACAGCTCTCCTGCTTGGCAGGGCCCGGGGGAGCTTCCAGCTGTTTGGCAGGGCCCGGCGGATTTCTCTCTGACCACCTTGACACGGTCTCACCCCCTTTTTGCATGGACACTCAAGCACTCCACTAAGAATTCTGAAATCTGTTAAGGTATTGTTTGCCTCTGTGGGATGGCTTTTGCCACCAACGTGAGCTTGAGAGTTAATGTTATTGATAATGTCTTGGTGAGTGGGCCTTTAACTACGCACAGGAGTACAATTAAACCCATGCCATTTCTGGACATCTTATTGTGTACCTACCCATTGCCCTGAAATCGGGCCCAGACATATAGCACACCTTCTGGGAAACGGCTTAATAAGAATTTTACAAAGTAATGGAAGTGATGGGAGTGAGAGCCGAAACTGCTATGGCAATAAGTATAGTTATTGTTATTTCAAAGGCTAGCCTGTCTTTGCAATTCTTTGGAGCATAGGAAATGTAATTGTTTTAGCTGCTTTTATAATTTTTAGCTAGAGGAATTAAGGATGCTTTTATTAAAGAAAATGCTTTTGATTATTTTTTCATTGTTTGTGGGGTTGTAGAATCTATAGTTGTAAGAGGATTTAACATTTGAAGTTTTTGTTTTAGATTTTAGGTCTTTCCCTGGGAAACCTATTTTCCCATTAAATAATGGGTGAATTGTAGAAATAGAAATGTGGTAGGAATGTACTACTGATTAGCAGGTAATCGCATGTGCCTTGGCCTTGGAGTCCTGGCTGTTGCTCCATGGCTACTGTTGAAGAATGAATCATGGCTTGCTTTGAAGACCATGAATACAGTATTTTGCAGAATTATCTTTAGGGGCATCTGCTTAACCCTGAAGTACAGACGGAATGACCAAATGTCTGTACATGCCCCCTTAGTCTTGAAGTAAAAATAGAATAATTAGTTGCTCGTGTAGAGTCTTGTAAGCTGTCTGAGTAAATAAAAAGGACAGCTTTTTCTTGAGCTGTTGTGAGAACGCACCAAGTGTCTGTGTCTTTCTTTATCACCGACTCCACACACCCTTCCAGAGCTCTGAACTCAGCTGGAGCTGGACTCGGGCACACCAGACCCAGGGCTTTTCCACCATGGAATTGGGAGAACCCAGTGTGATGCTCACAAAGCTTGCTGAGCTACAACAAAATCTCCTGCCTTTTGCCCACACCCAATCTCTCATTACTGCAACTACATTACTTCTCTCATAAAATTAAAGTGAATTTAGTTTCTTGAGCAAACCAGCCGTGGGAGATGTCACTAATGGGTTTCGGTCTAGGGCATTCTGGCCTCTCCCCTTGGCAACCCTTAGCGCTTTTGCTCCAGCCTCCCATGCTCCCATCCCTCAATCAGATAATGTTCTTCTCCCCTACATTCCCCAGAGAACCTTTTTACATCTCATAACAATGTATTATTTAAAAGACTTATTTATGTTCATTGGAATGGCAGATTTACAGAGAATAAAGGAACAGAGAGGGAAAGATCTTATATCTGCTGGTTCATTGCCTAAATAATCACAACAGCTGGAGTTGAGCCAATCCAAAGCCAGGAGCCAGGAGCTTCTTCCAGGTCTTCCATGCAGGTGCAGGGTCTCAAGGCCTTGAACCGTCCTCTGCTGCTTTCTCAGATCAACAGGGAGCTGGATGGGAAATGGAGCAGCTGGAACACGAACTGGAGCTCATTTTGTCCTAGTGCTTGCAGGTGGATGATCTAATTCATTGAGTCATCACACTGGCCCCACTAGGTCATAACGTATTAACTGCCTATTTACTCATTTGCTCCTTTCCCAGTACAGGAGGATCTCTATGAGGTCGCATGGTGTCTCAATGTCTGGCACACTGTAGGTGGTTATATGAATGGGGTGCTACGGTGGAGATGGGTGAAGGCAGTAAGACGATAGGAAGCAACAGCTGCGGTCAGAGTTGAGGTCAGGGAAGGTCTGCAAGAGGAGATATTGGCGGCTGAAGCGGAGGGACAAGTTGGTTAGGCGGCTTGGGAGAGAGCAAAGGGAAAGGTGTTTCTCACAAGTTGGGACTGGAATGGAATATTCCAAAAACTGCCAGGCTGACTGCGGCTGGGGAGGGGCGGCGGGAAATGAACCCACGGAGGAGCACAGCTCAGCCGGCCGGGGCCGCGCGGGGGCGCTCGAGGCTGCCCCTCGGCGCTCTATGGTTCTTATTTCGCCCCGGAAGTGGTTCCGGGGTTGGTCAGGTCGGGCCATGGTGGGGCAGAGGTTGGGAAGATGGCGTGGCGCGGCTGGGCACAGAGAAGCTGGGGCTGCAGCCGGGCGTGGGATTTGGGCGGCCGCAGCCTCGAGGAACTCGCTACGGCCTTGACCTCGCCGCCGCGGCTGCTCGGACGCAGGTAATGGCCGTCGCTGCAGTTGTGAGTTCTGGCGGTGCATCCTGAGGGGCCTTCGGGAGGCGTCACCGGCTCGCTCCCCTCCGCTTCCCGGCCCCCTCGCTTGCTTTCGGGCGGTCCTCGCTTCTCGCCGGGCCAGGCCGCGTCGTGGTCCACTCCGGCCCAGACTCGCCCCGAGCCCGCTGCGCCCCTTGGCCGCTGGGAGGACGGAGCTGAGATTTGCGTCTCACACCATGAAGCCCCGGTTCCCCGACAGCAGGCTTCTTGGAGAGTCTTTAGAGAGCTGGAGACGGGACGGGGTCAGGAGGGGTCACTTTAGTGGAGACTGTGCTGTTAAAGAATCGAGACTCTGGAGTCTTTGCGTTCCAGATTTGCTAAGGCGCGCGCCTGTGTGAGTGTGTCAGCAAAGGCTGCCTTTGCCTTAGAGTAATTTGATTCTAAACTTCTGGAGAAACCCTTTAGCGTCCCCAAGAATCTGATGTGCGTCTGATTTGGAAATCGGCTCCTGATCTTTAATTCAAAGGTTACAGCTCTTGGTTTTCAAACTTGGTTAGGGGTTCCAGGAGTCGGTTTCCCTCTGTGGGAGCAAGGAACAGGAAGTGCTTAGCAGGTGCTAGGCGATGGAGGCTTGGGGAGGGTGCACGCCTGGCCTCACCTTACAGATGACTGTTTCCAGGATTCCCTCCTGCCCCTCAATCCTAGAAGCGAGTGGGAAGAGTGGAAGAACCTGTATTTCTTCCTGCACTCAAAGGCAGTTTTATCAAGAATTTGTGAAAAACTTGCATAATTATAGATTTTATACTTTTTATGCTTTTTAAAAGATTATTGTTCTTTTTTAAAAAGATTTATTTATTTTTATTGGAAAGTCAGATACAGAGAGAAGGAGAGACAGAGAGGAAGATCTTCCATCTGTTGATTCACTTCCCAAGCGGCCACAACTGCCAGAGCTGCATCAATCCGAAGCCAGGAGCCAGGAGCTAGGAGCTCTTCCAGGTCTCCCACGCAGGTGCAAGTTCCCAAGGCTTTGGGTTGTTCTCCACTGCTTTTCCAGGCCACAAGCAGGGAGCTGAACAGGAAGCAGGGCTGACAGGATTAGAACTGGCAATCAGATAGGTTCCTGGTGTGTGCAAGGCTAGGATCTTAGCTACTAGGCTACCGCGGTGGGACCAGCTTTTATTCTTACAATGTGGAACCTCAGGCACTGATCTTTTAAAAAATAATTTATTATTTTTAAAAATAATGATTACATGGTTGATCAGAGTAGGAAGGATCAAGGTTTATGGAAAATTGGGTGAACTTATTGCTTCCAAATTTGCTATTTCTTCTTGTTGATACTGGGGTAAAGGAAGAAACAAAGGGCATACCACTCACAACTTTCCATACGTCCCAGTACCCAGGGATGAGGAACTGCCACCTTCTGTCAACCCAGAGTCTCAATGTGTACATATTCTGAGGGTTTGGATAGTTCTGAAATGCTGCCGATTTCACTGATCCCAGGATGATGTCGCCTTCCCAATGTCCACTGGCTCCAGTCACTGAAATTTTTTGCTGTCATCGTTTGGGGTTATTGCCCAGTTAGTTCCGTTCTTCTGCTACAGCACCAAATTGTTGCCTTATTCTCCTTTTACAACAGGGCCTGTGTCCACTGCTCCACCTTTTTCATTATTAGGGCATGTTGTTGCTGACGAGTCCAAGAAGCTGGGCCAGGTGTCCCAAGCATCACCGGACCCTCCACCCCTGGGGCTCACGAATCCGACACGCACCTGTTATGAAGGACCTGGGACCCAGATCAGGAGTCCCAAGCCCCGCCAGATTCCCCACCCTGGGGTTCACGGAAACAACAGCCACCTAAAAGGTGGGCCCCAGGATCTGGGCCAAGTGACCCATACCCCACCTGTTCCCCTGTTCCCGGGACTCAGGAACCCATCCTCACCACACGTGTGGGCCCCATGACCTGAACCAATCTACCCTACCGCTGTTAGAGCACCTGTCCCTGGGATCCATGAACCTGGCACCTGCTTGGCCCAGGCTGCCATGACTCGCCTTACCTGAGCGTCTACAGTCTTATTGTGCCTCCTGGTGCAGTCTGGTCGGCCCTCTGCTCCCCCACCTGTTGGTGGGTGCTGAAGCCTATTCCAGCCCAGCCTGATTGCTGTGCCGGTCTTAATGTGAACTGGCTGGTGTTGCAGCCTGATCTGGCTCCTCCTGCCCCCTGCCTTGGTCCTCAGATCTGCCAGTGGGTGTTATGTGCTGGCCCAGACTGGCCTGTCCCCAGACCTGACCCACATGTATGCCGGTGTGTACTGTAACCTGACATGGTCTAGGCTGCTCCTTGCCTTGCTTCTTGTGCTCTCCTGCAGGGTTTGCGTCCCAGTGAAGGTGTTTCCAAAGTTCCTCCATCAGGTCCTCCCAATGGCAGTTCTCGCGCACACAAGTCAAGGACCACCCAAAGCTTTAGGATCCTGCACCCGCGAGGGAGACCCGGAGGAAGCTCCTGGTTCCTGGATTCGGATCTCTGTCTGTTTGGGCCACTTGGGAAGGGAATTAGTGGATGGAAGGTCTTTTTCTCTCCATCTCTATGTGAATCTGCTTTTCTAGTAGAAATCTTTTTTATTTTAAGTTTATTTTTATTGGAAAGTCAGATTTACAGAGAGTAGAGACAGAAAGATCTTCTGTTCGTTGGTTCACTCCTCAAGTGTCCATAACAGCTGGGGCTGAGTGGATCCAAAGACAGCCAGGACCTTCTTCCGGGTCTTCCATGTGGGTACATGGTCCCAAGGCTTAGGGCCATCCTAGAGTGCTTTCCCAGGCCACAAATAGGGAGCTGGAAGGGAGGTTGAGCAGCTGGGATATGAACCAGCACCCATATGGAATCCTAGTACATTCAAGCAAGGACTTTAGCCATTAGGCTATTGCACTGGGCCCAGAAATAAATCAATTTTTAAAAAAATTCATCTTATTTGAAAGGCAGAGATAATTAAGAAGAGCTATAGATGTCTTTCATCTGCTGGTTCACTCCCCAAATGTCCAGAATTCAGTCGGAAGCCACAAACTTCTTCCTGGTTTCCATTGTGGGTGCAGGGGTCCAAGGATTTGGGCCATATTCTGCTTCCTTTTCAGGTGCTTCAGCAGGGAGCAGGACTGGAAGTAGCATCTTAACCCATTATACCAGGATGCCTGCCCCAGGCATTGATCTTGAGCTGTGGGAAGGGTGAGAGTGAAGAGACAGTGGAAATGGGAGATATTTCAGTTGTCCTTTCTGCAAGGCTGGCTGCAAATCCGCCCGTGGAGTTAGTTTGGAGGGAAGTTGGGTTTACCTGTTAGGAAGCCACAGTTAATTTTGGCCTTGTATACTCATCATTGTACTGGTTTGAGAGTGAGGAAGCTAAAGAAAGCTCGTGAATTAATGAGCTTCCTCTAAATGTTGGCATGGAAACCATTTGAAGTAACAAATGAACAAGAAACCCGTGAGGTGTTGGGGATGAGTATCTTGACATTTGAAAAGCTTGCCATTTATATGGGAAGTTCAAATTGACGTGTTAGTTGTTGTATGAAATAAGCTCAAGTGAGAGTGTATAGAACATTTTGCCTCTGGAAAGAAATGCTTAAAGTGAATAAGGAATATGTGTTACTGCGTGCATAGTCTGTTGCGTCTGATAGGACTTCCTGTGGTTCTAAAATTAGTGTGCAGAGAATAACTGAATCCGTGTGCTTCTCATTGGTGGAACTATTTTGTTTTAACATTTTATCTTTATTGGAAGGGCTGAAGAGGGACAGAAATTTGCATTTTACTAGCAGGTGTTGATGGAAGGATCTGTGAACTGCGGGATACGGCAATCCGAAAGCCAGGAATTGTCTACATTTTTAAGGGATCGTAAAGCAACGGAATGGAGGGGAAATTTCAGTAGCTCACGAAGACTACAATATTTGCTGTCTGGCTTTCTATAAGGAAAGGAGAGGGGATTGGCATTGCTGCACTGCAGGTCCCTACTTGCCATGCTGCTTCCCACTAAAGCACCTGGGAAGGTGGAGGAAGATGGCTCAGGTGCTTGGTCCTGCCGCCCGTGCAGGAGACTGGATGGAGTTCCTGTCTCTTGGCTGAGGTCTGGCCCAGACCTGGCTCCGTGACCACTGGAGGAGTAAACCTGTGGGTGGACGATCTCTCATTCTCTATTTCTTGTTACACTGTCTTTCAAAGTAATATTTTAAAAACGAAAATCTCCCATAGGCTCTTGAAGTACAGAAGTTTTTAAGCTCCTGGCAGCACTTCTGGAAAACATGGCTTAGGCTTAAATTTGGCACTTGTATGGAAGTGTCCATGAGAAGAAAACAGTTGATGTAGCACACGAACAGAGCTGAACTTTTCAGATTGAGTTATCTTTGAATAGAATACATGACAGATCATTAAACCAACTATGTTGATTATCCGTGTTTAAGTTACCATTTGTTAACTCAAGGTAGATTTTTTTATTAGTTTTTTTTTTATTATTATTGATTACGTTGCATTATGTGACACAGTTTTATAGGCACTGGGATTCCCCTCTCCTCTCCCCATAACCCCCCCCCCATTGGATTCTTGTTGCATTACCACAGTTCAAATTCAGTTGAGATTCTTTCCTTGCAAGCATCTACAAACCATAGAGTCCAGCATGTTATTGTCCAGATAAGTTCAACAGTTTCTTGGGACTGTTCCTTCAGACTCTGGTCTGAAGGTAGAGCCGACTGAGTATCATCCCAATCAATTAAAAGTCCCGACATTACATCAGTAACAATTTATAACATAATGGAATTAGTTGACATGGTATTGTGTAACCAGCATATTAAAAGAGAGAGGAAGAGAGAGAAAAAAAAAAAAGAGTGCAAGTTCTGAACCACATCCTATGACTTCTACATTGACATTACAATTATTAGTTTATATACAGCTGGGTTCTATACACCTTCAAAATGGCTATAGATTACTATTCAGCTGTCTCATGTCTATTTTAATTTTAGTATTTAGCAGT